TTTCTGTTTTCTTATTGGGAAGTTAAGTGAAAGTGTTGCTAAACAAGAAGTTAATCAACCTCCACAAAGAAACCAAAAGGCATTCTACGGTATATTGATTGAACATATTGGACAATTGATTTATGACATTGGGTCTCTTTGTAGAAAATATGCTTTTAAGTACTTTGTCAAAATAGTTATAGACTGTTTATTGGATATAATTTTCAAATAAAATAATATTTGGATTAGTTTGTCAACTTTATTCTAATTAATACATTCGTCATATTTTGGTTTTCTCTTTATAAGAATAACGTAGAATTGAATAAATCAATCATTAGCCGTGTGTTTCATTGTTTGAAAACAAATGACTAATAAATCCATATTCCATTTTAATGTATCAAATATTTTAAATACAAATCTTCATCAGATTTATTTAGTCACTCTACATCGTTTGTTACATCATTTTTATTTCATAAAATAAATACAAACTTGGGAAAATATTTAATGAAAGACTTATAATCATTCATTGAATAATCTAATAACATTTCAACATTATTGATAACAACTAAATTTTTGATGATTTTTCTTCTTTCAGTAGAAATACATACAACTTATTGTTCACTGTTATAATACATATTTTGATAGAATATATCACTTATCTACTAAAAATTCATGATAAAAATATTTTAAATACACTTAAACTTTCTTTTCTTTTATTATTAATTAATTTTTGGTTTTCCTTAGACAAGTTGAATATATGAATGAGATGATTTGTTGAATATAGTCAACAAACTTTTATGTTTCCTCATCAAACTATATTCAACTTTTCATTATTTTGTTATTTTATTGAATGAACATGTTTGCAAAAGTGATAAACAGAAAAATCATATTAAGTGAATGTTAAATAATTTCATAGAAAATGAAATACAATTTAACTTCATTTCTTTTATAAGTTGTGAGTTATGAATATCATTTTTTTTTATTTTTTTAATATAAAAATAAAAAAAGGTCATTTATTAGATTTATCCACTATTTGAGTTCCACCATATCAAGAAGTGATTATTTCAATTTCTTCATTATGCTCTATTGATGTAATAGAGTTCATTTCTAGCATGCTCGCATTAGATTGTTCTTCTTCTAATGTGCTGCCAGAATTGAATGTGTAAAACATTAAGTCTTTCATATTTTTGATAATAATTGTTCGTAGGATTTTGGAAAAGTCTAATTGTAATTTCAGGGATTTTATTCTTCTTACTGACTCTTTGTGAATTAATCAATTTATTGATAATATAACAGGTATTATTTCTACATATATTAATTCTCTATTATTTCTTATTTTCTCTTGTAATTCTTTGTATTTATTTATTTTGTGAATATAATTTAATTCTAAATTATTATCTTGACATATAGCAACATCTATAATATATCATTTCTTTTCTTTCATATTTTGATATTATATATCTGGTCTTCTAGCATGGAATGAATTTTCATTAACTATTAAATCTTTATTGTAAGTTATAACCATTTTATCATTATTTATACATTTTGGAGGATTATCAAAATCAATTGCATCAAATTCATTAAAATGGATAATTAATATGTGTTTAAATATTTGTTTACAAACATAATCATGTTTTGATATTTGATTCTTTTTCATTACATTACATCATAACAATATATGATTAATAGATGCAATTGTGTTATGACAATGTTTACAATATTTTAAAGCATCATTTTGGAGTATTTTAGATTTAATACTTCCTGTCATAGTTACAAATTCTTGCATCATTACTATTTGGAGGAATGTATTTCTTTTTATATTTAATGATATCCATGTGGCTACTGTTATTTTCTTATCATTGAAAGTGCCATTTGCACATCTTATATATTCACCACATTTCTTTTCTTTCCATTCACTTAAATATCTATCATTCAATTCATTATTTACCCATTCAAATATTTCCTTTACATCTTGTTTTCTTTCATTTAATTCTATTATATTCATTATTTCATTAAAATTAATCTTCTTACCAAATACTTTATTCATTCTTTTAATTATTCAATTTGGATTTTCTTTTATTATTTCTATCATTTCTCATATTTCTGTGCTTGATCTCCACTTATATTTTAAATATATTCTTATTAATTCTTTACCACATTAATCTCTTGATGACATTATTCCTAATCCCAATTCATTTATTTTAACATATAATCTACTTTTGGGTATATTTCTGCTATATAATTGGAGTTGTATTAATGATTTTCTTATTTGTTTATCTATCTTCTCCAATTCTCCTAGTTTATATTTGACAATACTAAATCCATATCTTAATTTGGAGATTATATCACTATTAATCTTTCTTATTGTATTGAGGTTGCTATATTTCATAGTATTTAATGATGATAAAATAGAAGATATATCATTTAATATTCTTGTACAATATTTATTAATATTTATTTTATCTCATATTTCAATACCAAGATATTTATAATGATTATCATTAGTTACTCTTGGTAGTTCAGCTAATTCACCATTTATTTGACTATTAATATTAGTCATTATCCCACTCTTTTTACATTAATTTTTAATCCTATTGCATTAAATATTTCTTTAGTTAATTTGTGTGCTTTTTCCATTTCATTGAGGCTATTATTCATTATCTTTAAATCGTCCATATACAATATGTGGTTTAACTTGATTTGTTTTTCTTCTCCATTCATTTTAATATTTAATTTGCTTATTTGTTTATCTAATTGTTTAGATAATATATCAATAGATAATACAAATAAGAGTG